CGAAGCGAACACAGCAGCCGCCCTTAATGTAATTATGCCTCTGTTGACTGATAGCATCCAGTTAAAGCTAGTAAAATTCAGTACACATGATCCACATCACCATCGTCAGCACGGGACAAATTCAATGGCAACAGATGCTTTAAAGTTTTTCTCCTCATGCCAAACACTGAGCTGCTGGTTGAATTCACTGAGTGCACTTCCCTGTCACGCTCACTATTAGAGCGTTCAAATCACTGTGCAAATATAATGAATGCAATGCAGAAAGAATGCGTTGTATGCCTTGTAAGCCTCGAGTGACTTCAGGATTCTCCAGTTTCATGCACTTAGTTGTTATGCGGCTTCATCTTTTAGTCCCGGATGTCACCACTTTGTCTGAGTCAACCAATTACCAGCTCAGATCTGGGTTTGCACTATAAAATCTGACGTGTGTCTCTCTCCCTCAGCTCGACTCCACAGTGTGTAAAGAGATGTCTGTCTCGGACACAGAGGTGTCAGATGTCACGTGGACAGACAATGGTACTTTCAACCTGTCAGAGGGACACACACCACAGACTGAGAACTCAGAGGGTAAGTTTCATTTGACGCTCTTCTTTCTGATGCCGAGAGCTACTTTGTGTCTCACATATTTGGGTAACTGGTGTTTCTTCCTTTTTGTGTCGGGGCCACTTTGATCAGACTTTGACAGAGAAGAACCGTTCATTGGTGGCCTACCTGAATTCCCTTCACTTGATAATGGCGTGACCACCAATGGCGACGACGACGACGACCTCAGCCTCGGCCTTGCTTCACCTCCGACTCGGCTCCAGGATCCAATCAAATCCAAGCACGAACCTCAAGACCAGTCCACCAACGCCCTCGATTTGGTCAACCAGATGGCAGGTGAAGTTATCACCGCTGCAGTCACAGCTGCCATCCAGGAGAGAATAGAAGCAGCAGTCAGCTTCATGACGCCAACTGAAGACCCCAAGCGGGCGGGACTCACAGAATCGAGCAGGCTGCTGGAGCTGACCGAGGAGTCGGACAGCGAGGTGGAGGACTTTGAGCTGCTGGACCAGTCAGAGTTGGAGCAATTGGAGGGGGAGCTTGGCCTCGGAGAGAAGGCCAAAGCCAAAGAAGAGGTGCAGACCGACAATCCCGCCTCTTCTGGCTTCTTGTCCAAACTCCTTAAACGCCACTGACGGATGAAAAGTTTGAAAGCAGATGGTGAGGTGTGGTTTCCAGAGGACATGTGGAGGGGAGGCAACTTTATAGAGCTTCAATTTAGCTTCTTCCTGTTAAGCAAACATCTACAGAACTGATCAGATAGTGCTGTCTTTTTTTAATCGAACCAGAGTAGCCTAAAGCTGAGACCACACCATATACCTTAATGATGGCTGACCAAACTGAGGCCTCTAAGATGATTTCAGTAACTAATGAAAGATCCATGCTCATCTGAAAACAGGCGTATGGATTTTTTAAATTTATACTTTTATTATTTGCTATCAGTCAGGTGGAGGCTGGTTACTCACGTTTATAAGGCTTTATATGAATTTCAAATTAACACTGAATTGACTTAGACGTAGTTTTCAGGTTACAGTGTCACTATGTGGCAAGTGTGCAAAACTAGTCTAGTACAAAACTCTCTTTCCATTTTACAAAAGCTGGTTTATAATATGATTTGTTATTCTTAAGTTGCAGGAAAGTAAACCCACAGTATGCAACTCCAGCCCTGCACCTAAAATAAATTAGGTTCCCATAAATCTAATTTGCATTCTCATTAATGTTGCAATGGAAAAATGTTATTTACTTAAATCTAATTATCACAAAGCCAGTCATAATTTTTATGTGAGACAGGATTCCTCAAACTGATAATCCAAGAAACAAAAGAGGAGCTCGTAATTTAGTTTACAATGAAACTGTCACGGTCTGCGGAGACAGGCCGTGCGGTGGTGTGTGTGATGGACCCAGGTGCGTACACAAGTGAGCAGACGGGAGTGAACTTAACAGAAAGCGAGCCTTTATTATGGCTGAAGACAAAGTGTACAAACAAAGCAGGGATAGCGTGACTAAACTAGACTATAACTAAACTGGGAAAACTAGTACTGTGACAAACTAAGAAGACTCTGATGATCACTGCAAAGACTGACCGTGAAAACATGGAGGTGAGAACACAGACGACGCGACCCTGAACGCAGCACGACTGAGGACTAAATACACACATGAGGTGATCAGGGGAAGTGGAGACACATGAGGACACAGCTGACTAGAATGAAACATAATTACAGCACAGGGGAGAGTAAACCTAAATGCAGTGAACAAAGAACACCAGACTCTTTCAAAGTAAAACAGGAAACCCAGAGACATGAAGATAAATCATGACATGACCTTAACATAACCACACAGACATAAAACATGACAGGTAGACGCATGAATCAGGGAGACTGAGTACAGGGGGAGATGACAGAAACAACTAAGAAATTAACTAGATCAAAAATGGATACAAAAATACATAAAACTCAAACATGGGGTCACATGACCCAGCCCATGACACAAATGTCTGTTTTAACCCAAACTTTGCTGAACCTAACAAAGAGGTTTAAAGCTTAAAAAAATGTTAAGATGAATACTGACTTCCCATAAGACTCAAATCTTGTGACATACTACTCCACTACTACTCCTTGGGTTGGTCCTTCACATAGAGCTGAGAGAAATTAGACATTTAATTACGCCTGTGAGTCAAATCACAGCAAGGATTAAGTCGCCTTTATTAAAAGAAGCATGAAATGCTACACAAATAAAGGCTAATCTACACTATTGACCCTGCTCTAAAAACAGACATAGATGTAAAACTGTCTGTGAAGCTGGATTTAAGAAACAAGTGCTTAAAGTTAAAGTTTTAAAAACATGTTTGGCGCCATCTTCTGTCAGTACAGAACATGACGTTATGTGGTTAGTTCGTTGGTTGCAGCTAATAGACTTATATTAGTTTATATTAGCTGTTAGCTAATTAGCTATTAGCGATTGTGACAGAATCGATAACTCAGATTAAAAATAATGATACTAAAACTAAGAATCAGTCTAAGGAGATCACTTCTTTGCTGCCCCTGACTGCAACAATGAGTTTTATGTTAAGAAACTGAGGATATACTGTCCACTTTCACTGTGTGTCTCTTTTGCAAGAAGTGGCTGGTTGCTGTTTGGCTAGCTGCACCAAACAGGGAAATTAATCTGTTAGTCGTAATGTTTGCATTTGTAAAGCACTTTATAAACGAGGACTGTGTGGAGCAGAGCCTGTTGGAAAAGCTGGAGTCCAATACTCCAGCTTTTCCTCACCAGGTCGGGTGTACTGAGCCGTGAAATCAGCTTGCAAAGCAGATATTGGCAAGATGCCATCAGCACTATTTTATGCAAAAAAAAAAATCTCTCTTTAACGAAACACAACCAGTTTACTACATAACAGGTTACTGCATGAATATCGCACCAAAAACATAACAGTTTTTTACCGAAGGCTATTAGAAACCCTAACATCCATCAGCATGTCCGCAGGAAAATAAATCTCCATGTTACAGTCTCCTCCACTTACATTTGGGCTTCGTTTATCCTCAGTTCTATATGAAGTAATCCAGTCTGTGAGATGATGTGAGGAAAATACAAAAGGTCTCCAAAAAGTGTGACATTTCTTCTTCAGAGCCTCCGCCTTATATGTTTTTTCACTTCGTGCGCATACTATTGCTTTCCCTGCAGACGTACTGATTGGATTCCTGGTGTGATGTGCATGTAGTGGGCTGTTATGTTGTAAACGGTCTGGATGTGCTCAAGAAGAGAAAGATTATCTTATGACATAAAAAGTGCTGAATGCATCAGCTGATTGCGCTGCTCAGTAAACTTGGCCAGAGGAGGAAAAACCAGTTTCTGTCAGCCCGATGAAACCATCTCAAACAGGCTCTCCTCCACACAGTCCTCATTTAGAAAGTGCTTTACAAACTCGAACATTAACAGGTGGATTTTCCTGTCTGAGTGCAGCTAGCCAAACAGCGACCAGCCACTTCCTGCTAAAGAGACATACAGTGAAAGTGGACAGTACATTCTTGGTTTTAACATTAAGCTCATTGTTGTAGTCAGAGGCAGCATAGGAGTGATCCTCTTAGACTGATTTTTAGTTTTAGTATCATTACTTTTCCTCTGAGTTATCGATTCTGTCACTAGTTAGCTAACATAAACTAATTTAAGTCTATTGGCCGCAATCAACCAACCGATCACATGACGTCACGTTCTGCACTGACAGAAGATGGAGCTAAGCATGTTTTTTAAAACTATAACTTCCAGCAAAATTCAAGGACAATTTTACATCTATGTCTGTTTTTGAGAACAAGACTCAATAGTATAAATTAGCCTTTTTATGTGGAGCATTTCAGGTTCCCTTTAAACACAGAGATATTGTGTGGTGTGGTCCCAGCATGACAGGCAGGTGACTGGTTGATGACAAATCTCCTGCTCTTGATTTTTCATCAGTTGTGGCTTTTTAAAACAGCTGAATGGTTTATGAGGTCGAAATTTAGGATTGATGAGCATCATAAACACTTAATGTTTCATTCATCACCTGCTGTTATTTAGTTCTAAGCAAATAACGATATTTTTGTGTTTATTTATGTATTTGTGAAATTCTTTTATGCCTGTAAATCATTTTGTATTGTTGCATAACAAATAAAGGAGTGATTATTCACAAAATACAACATACGTCATATTAAGATTTATACCTTTTTATAAACCATCTCGAGGTCTATGCAGTTAAATCCTCTCAGACACATTTTGGGGCCTTTTTAAAAAAATATTTTATGTTTTGATCACACTTTAACACTAATATTTATTGTCTTTTTATGCACATTAAATATCTTTATATATGCATACAGCTAAATTACAGTGTGTAATTAAAAGCATTTAATAAATACATATCTGCAAGTGCTAAAAGTAATCGCATTACTTACCCAGACTTTGAAACAAGATTTAAAGTTGGGACTTAAAAGGTAATCTAAGTATGAAAATTCACTTTTTAAATTGTAGTTTAGGCCTCAATGTTAACTGAACACAGGTGTTATTGTAGCAAAGACTGTATTTTACCAGTGAGTTTGTATAGTGGGCAGGAAAACTTCCTATCGCCTGCTGTTCGTATCATAACTGACAGGATTTAGTTGCTTTCAGGACAGGCTCCAGGATCCCAGGCTGGATATCTGGGAAGAAAAGGACGAATAGATTTGGTTGAAAAACCACTGCTGCTGCTACTCAGCTCATAACACATGAATCAAACTTCAGTGCTGAAACAATTCTTCCAACTACATTACCCACAATTCCATCAAACCAGTTGACAATCACAAGGGAACCAAATAATCTTTAATATGTAGTTTATTTTTAAAATTTGGATTTGAATTTTACCTGTACCTGCTTTACCTTTATGTTTCATGCATATGTTATTACAACTTGCAGAAGGTATCAAAATGACTGTCTCAGCTTTAGACATGAAGATATTTAATCTGAAAACTGAGTGTATGTTTAATTTGTCACAGTAGGGGAAGCACAGGGAGAATAAATGATGGCTTCACTCATCTTAGAGGAGGTCCCGTATGTGGTCATGCTGATTCACAGTCACAGCTTTCTCTGACACTTAGAGCTTTTCTCATTTCTCTAATTATGATCACTGAGTCATCATGAGGGAAATCGCAATTTCAAAAATGTATCTAATAGACAGAGAAAGAGTCTATCCTACATTTTTTATGTACTAAACCTCTTAGTCTTGTGAGATTTTTTGTAAGATGATTGGTTGCATATTCAAACTTTCTGTCCCTCACCGTTAATGTGTGATAAATAAAAAGATCAAAAAACTCAAGTGCGTGTTTAAATTTCATTAAAAGTAGGCCTAAATAAAACAGTTTTCATGAACACTATGTATTTATTTGACATCTGAGATCAGAAAATGCGACAGACTGTAACAAAATGATAAACAGTCAGTGGAGCTGTGACAACAAAGTGAAGATGTTTTATTTTATTCCTCTTTCCTTGTGCTGCTTCCTTGTTTCCTTCTCTCTGGTGGGAAAGACCCAAATTACAAGGAGAGGAACTGACGATATGCATGACAAAAATAATTGAGTGTAACTGAACCATCATTAATATATCAGTGATTTTCCTTCTGTGAGAACTGAAAGTGTTTGCTCTGGAAGAAGTGTGTCCTGGCAGCGCGAGCCACCAGCTGGAGGACTGAAAAGTGGTTCATTAAATAGACTGTTTCAAAAAATAGAAACACAAAAAACTAGAACAATGTCCACCCTGACTCTAATACATTTTATTTTGATTTTGTCTGTAACAGGGGTGGCAAAAACTATCGAAGTCCAAGACCCACAGACAAAACCAACCAACCAATGAGGTTACAACTCCATGAAAGCTGCAGAATCGAAACTCTTGGGACCAAACACAGAAATGACAAACTGACTATCTGCCAAAGGACAAACAGAAACTGACTCTATATATACACACACAGCTAACGAGAGGGGAAAGGAAACACTTGGGAAAAAAGAACATCTGAAATTAATCAAGAACAAAGAGACAAAGGAAGCTTGTCTTGTTGTGTCAAATGCAAGACACAAGAAACAACTGTGTATCAAATTAAAACAGGATGTAACAAATGGGAGAAAAAACAAATTCTTAACAAGAAACAAAAGTAGACTGAGGAGGCTACACTAAACTGCACCCCAAACATGTAAATACAAACCAGTGCTCAAAATGTAAAGAGGATCCAGGATACAAAAGTAACCAGGACTAAAGACTAAAAGTCCAAATGATAATCTAAAATACAAAACTCAAAGTAGCATCAACTTTACAAAGCGAAATGTTGTCATGTTTGTGTGTCTGAATAAGTTGAACAATTTCAGGATATATGAAGATGCATCTAAAATGCATTCCTGCTGGCTGCAGGGTGACTCAGGTGTCAGTGTTTCAAACTTAAACCAAATAAAACTGTATTAAACAGCTTTCACCACTAGAGGGTAGAATTAACCAATACAGCCTCAAAGCTGTGGCCACACAATGTGATGAGCTCCATAGTCAGAGGAGCACAGGGTTTGCTTTAGACAGTTTTTCATTACTAATGAGAAAAACTAAATAGTGGAGCAGTGTTGGTTACATGTGTGGGCAGCAAAAAGAAACAACATTGAGCACCCCCAGACCTTTGCTCAGTTTAAGCTGCTTTCACTTACAAGTTTTTGCTCAAACTGAAGAAAGCTTTTATCTT